GGCCTGCCTAGGCAGGTGGAGACTTCTGCTTCATGCATGCGCACTGGGAATGCCTGCTGCACAGGGTAGTCTGGCCGCAGCTGTCGCCTTGGCAGCCCTGCATGTAGTTGGAGCCGAAGCCGTGATGTGGATGGGATGGGTCTCAGGTCAGGACACCCCTGGAGGGCAGTGAAGGCAGCAGGCTTGGGCCAAGGGGAGCCAGGCTGTGAAGCATTCATGGCAAAGCTGACCCCACAAGGAGCGCTGGGCTGGCGAGGTCCTTCAGAGACACCCAGAGTGGGGCCTTTGTACCCCATCACTGGGCTGCCCCCGAAGGAGGGGCCCAGCCTTGGGGAAGGTGACCGGCTTCCACGGAGACAACCCCGGGGTGGGCTGGGGAGGCAACAAGATTCCGGCAGCTGGGTAGGGGCGTCGAGTTCCCCGATGGACAGAAACCACAGCGTCTGGCCCAGAAGGTGCCCTGAGGCGGCGCCCGATGCAGAGAAGAGGGCCTGGGAGAATCCTGACGCACAGCAGGCTGGAGGGCAATCGGTGATGGTGACGGAGGAGGGGTACGGGGAGGGAGGGATCAGCAGTGGTTCTGTGGAACCGGGAAAGAGGACGGTTGAGACACTGTTCATGAGAACGGGCCACCAGGTCCCTGGTGACAGCAGCTGAGGAGAGGCTGGTGCCACGAGGTACATCTTGTCCACTTCTGGCTCATAAGTCACTCCAGCCACCTCCCTACACACTCACTCCTGAAAGCGAGCCAGCCTCTGCGGCCACTCCCCTCCCTCTCCTGCTTCGTGGCTGCATTTCCTTCGCTGTCTACCTCCCAGCTCCAGCCATGACCCCTTGACCTCCAACATGACCTTCACCTTTGTTTCTTGTTCCTCCAAATGTTGAACCCTTCTGAAACATTGAGGGCATTTTTATACGTTGGCTGCCTCCTTCTAGAACATTCTGAATGTCTTCCCAGGTGAGAACCCCCTACAGCACTCTGAGCTCTGAAGAATCAGCATGTGTCCAGGTTCAAACAAGGAGCAAGAGGAAGTGGGATGGAAGTTTGGAGAAGCAGCAGGAGGTGGAGGGACGGGGGTGGAGACAGACTGTTCTAAGGTAGGAGACTCGCGAGGGCGACGATTTGCTGAGGAGGAAAAAACCAGCAGAGAATAAAAGCTAAAGGTGGGGGAGTAAGTCTGCTTCATCAGCCAGCTCCCCTCGGTGCTCAGAATCGCTGCTTCAGGCAGAAAGGGACTGTGCTGAGAGGACACTGGGGGCCTGGAATTCAAGGGAAGGTGCAAAACTGGGCTTGAAAACCAGTCAGGAGCCAACGGCCATGGCAGCAGTGAGCAGGCAAGTCCTGCAGAGGAAGAGCAGGCGGCTGCTTCGGGGCTCCTTGCCACAGGAGCATCTGCCCAGTGTGCCCGCAAGCCCCTAGGAGGTGACAAAGCTCTGTGTAGAAAGAACACAATGAGGGACTTCCTGCAACCCAGGAAGGATGCCCAGCATCAAGGAACAACTGGCTCTTCCCCTTAAAAAGAAAAAGAGCCAACACCGGACTGTATCTCCGTCACAGAGGCAGAGACAAGAGGCAAATTCTGGCCTGCACATAGTCATCCAATATTCAGGAGACTGACCAGGTTACTCCATCACTGGTCCAGGCGAAGGGCCCCTGCAGGGAGCTGCCCTCTAAGGGCCGGGGGAGAGAACACACGAACAAATGCCGGGAGCGTGTGGTACTTGGTAAGTCAAGGGAAAGGAAGACATTCAGGTCTGGAGGCCCCTCGGAGGGAGCCGACTTGGAGAGTATGGTCAGCGAGGCCTCTATGAGGGGGCAACATTTGGCAGAGATCACAGTGATGCAAATGTGTGAGTCTCCTGCCCATGTGGGGGAGGGGAGTGCGCTGGAAAGAGGGGACATCAAGATGCCAGTCCCTGTGTGCCCCAGGGACAGCGAGGGGCAGAGCAGCGGCAGGGGCCACATCACAATGTGCCTTACAGGCATGAACGTCCCTCCCAGCATGACGCAAAGCCTTGGGGGAGTCTTAGACAGGGAAATGACTCACTTTTTTGTGGTGGTTCTTTCACTGCTAAATGTCCTGTACGTGAGACTATTACGTTAAAAAACACACGCACAGGAAGCAAGGCCTTAACTTTCTGAGATACCTACTGAACTAGAACGATCTGACGTCTGAGATCTGTTTCCCGATGATCTGGGGCAGGAAAGGTGGGGAGAGCAGGTAAGGGTGGAAGGAATCGCCAAGACCATAGTGAATGTCTGTTGAGATGGAACATGGATGTGTGGAGCCCATTACACCAGTCTCTCTACTTCTGTATATGTTCAAAATGTTCTGGAGCAAAACTTTAAACAATCATTAAATAGCTTGGCCAGTGTGACGTTCAGTGGTTGAGTGTCGATCTATGAACCAGGAGGTCACGGCTCAATTCCCGGTCAGGGCACGGGCCCAGTTGTGGACTCCATCCCTGGTAGGGTGGCCTGCAGGAGGCAGCAAATCAATGCGTCTCTCATCATTGATGTTTCTATTTCTCTCTTCCTCTCTGAAATCAATATAAATATATTAAAAAAGAAATATCTGAATAGGTGTGCAAAGTTCGTATACATGGAAAGTCACTGGGTGGGTATCCAGAGTTAGGGGCCTGATCATGCGTCCATCCACAAGGGAACACTGCAGCTGTGGGAGAGAAGGCCTTCCTCATGAGTGTGCACATGCATGTGTACATGTATATGCATATGTACAGTATATGTGTATGTGTGTACAGCCCAGTTCTTTCAAATACCGAGCAAAAGCTTCCCTTTCAGGACTATAGGGAGGCTTCCTCTCCAACCAGTCATAGGAGAGAGTTGGGCTCAGGCTGGTCAAACCCTGCTAGGCCCAAGGGACATGAGGCTGAATTAAAGCTCCAAGCTCCTCCACAAGCCACCCTGGGGACGGAGCTGCAGGGGCCGGCCCAGTGGGGGTGCCCTGAAGGCTGGAGGTTCTCCTGAGGTGGACCCAGGCCAGGCCAGGTTGTAAGGGTGGGCAGGGGTGTCATTCTAGGTGGGAGGAGCTGCACGTGGACCAGCGAGGAGAGCAGAGGAGCTGGGGAGTGGCCTGCGCAGGGAAGGGCAATACACCGAGACTGGGCTAATGTGGAAGAAGGAAGGAGGAGAGGCGAGGGAGGCCATGGGTGCACTCCCCGTGGGCTGAGCTTGTTCCTCGCTCAACAGTGTGGGGCGCTGTTCTAGTGCGGGATGTGGCGTGACCAGGGAAGGGACCTGCTCCTGAAGGGCCGCAGCCACAAACAAGGAAACACAGGAAGAACACTTGGGGCAGAGACCAATGCAGTGCAGACATAACAAACGATAAACTGAGAGTGTGAGAGGGGGGTGGGAGGGGGCAGAGGTCAGGGGACCTCATGTAGGAAGGTCTAATGACAAGAAGGAACCTTCACCAACAGGGGAAGGAGGGCGGGGACACCACAGTCACCAGCTAACTGTGCGAGACAATTGTTTTGCTAATAAAACCACGGTAAGGAAATTTGCTTTTTCTGTTAGTAACGAACTCATTACTGAGTGCTGTTTTTAGTCCTTTCCCCGGGGTTTTAGAGACCGCTGAGGGTGGGAGGTGTGCTGAGACTGGTGGGCATGGCTCTGGGTCCCCACACCCCACCTGCAGGGGCCGGCTGAGTGTCAGAGGGAGGAGGCCAGGAGGCGCACCCACCTGCTGCGGGAGGTCACATCTGGGAAGAACTGCACGACAGCCAGCAGATTGTGGTGGTGATCCGACACCAAGCTCAGGGCACGGCACAGCTGCCGGAGCTGTGGGGACAGCCAGCACCGTGGTGGGCAAGGGAGGGGCCACTTCCACCTGACTCTCACCAGCCCACTCGGAGGGTCAGAGGGCCAGCCATGGAGGCAGGGACATGCCACCCCCTCTGGGCGTGTGAAGGGCACCTGGGGGCCCTCTAGGGGAGGGGGCTGGCTGGCCCAGGGCTCCGTACCTTCCCCGGCCACTCCTGGATGCTCTGGAGGAGCAGGAGCAGCAGCTGCTGCAGGTCGGTGTTGGGCAGCAGGCGCAACCGCACGTCCAGGCCAGCTCTGCACAGCAGCTCCATCAGGTCCAAGAGGTCTCCATCCGTGGCGGCCTCAGGCTGCGCCTGGGCACACAGTGTCAGGAACTGGAGAACAGAGAGAACACGAGGGCAGTGGGGACCGTCCTGGGAGACAGGGCAGGCAGGAAGGGTCGCACTGTGAGCCCCTCACCATGTTGGGTAGGAGCGAGATAAGCAGGGAGGTGAGTGCAGACCCTGCGGTCCTCAGGTGGCAGTGTGGAGGGTGTGAGGGTCCCGTGCGTCAGTTCTGGCAGCCCATGCAGTGCCTGCTGTGGTGCCGAGCCCGTGGGTGCAGGGGGCACTCCGGGAGCTGGCCTATGGAACGGGCCTGGATGGGGCACAGAGACAGCCACTTGACTCACTTTATAGATGTAGCTCAGGCTGATGTCCAAAGCCGTCTCCTGGCGGGTGTCCTGCTGCTCACGCCAGCCTGGGCTGGCCTCACTTGCAAGCACTCTAAGGCAAGACAGGGACAAGGAAGGAAACGGGAATGGGCACCAGGGAGAACTGAGGTGGAGGGACCCACACTCGCTCAAGGACACAGAGCCCAGGGAACATCCACTCAGCCTGGACCCTGCGTGCTGGTCGCTACTGCCATGTAACAAATGACCCCAAATGCAAAGGCTAAGGAACGTTTATTATCTCACAGTTCCTGAGGGTCGGGGATGCAGAAGCAACTCAGCTCGGTGGTTTGGGCTCAGGTCTCTCAGGAGGTTGTCCCCAAGACGCTGGGGGATGGGCTGCTGTCCTCTCAGGCCTGGCTGGGCAGGCAGAGCTCCTAAGCTCACTCGCACGATCATCAGGCCTGGCTCCCCACGGCTCCCTGGGCTCCTCCACAGGCAGCCTGCTTCCTGAAGGCCCACGAGTGACTCGAGAGGAGAAAGCCTGGGACGGAGGCTGCAGCCTTTCGCATCTGGCTGCAGCAGTGACACCCAGCCTGCAGACACCAGGCCAGCCTGACGGCTCCACTCCTGCCAGGCCTCCAGCTGCAGGTTCCCGGGACTTGGGAAACAGAAAGCCGTGCGCCATTGCCCCCACAGCCGTCCTCAAAGGCGTGTCCTCTGACCATCCAGGTGTGGAGACACGCGCTCTGAAAGCACGGAGCTGCAGCCTCCAAAGTCAGTAAGGTAGGTGACAATCAGAGCAAGAGCCCAGCACGGACCTGTCCCCCGGGGGAGGGAGCAGGCCTGGTGGAGCCCAGATGCAGTCAGAGGCCAGGATCACAGCAAAACCCATTCAGGACTAGTCGCACTCAGGGTGGCAGGACGCCCCCGGGAGAGCAGGGTCACCGCCCTCTGCACCAGCTTCTTCTCAGGACGCCCCTGCCCAGCGATTCTCTCTGGGGCCAAGTGCGTATTGTTGATGTCAGGTAAGCGAAGCGAGTGTATGACACTGTGTCTCATCCACGTTCCCACTCGTGTGGACCAGCCTGCAGGCCTGCTAACAGCGGCTCTTGCTGACAAAGACGCTGATGGCAGTGCTGCCGACCACAGGCCCCGCTCCCGGCACGCTCCGGGGAGGCCTCTGCTCCTCCTTACGGGGCACTGGCGCTGCTTCTCAGGCAAGAAGGAGACCCAGTCTAGGCACTAGGGAAGTCGGTGCCCACAACCACGCTAGGGCGAGGGTGAGGGCTGGGTCCGCCTTTGATTAGGGCCAGGCAGGGGGGAGGCCGGCATTTACACCTGGACAACAGGGCTGTTTGTCCAAGGGGAGCTGCAGCTGGAGCAGCCTGAACTCACAGGTGGGCAAGCACGGGGGGTTTCAGATTTCCCAAAAGGGCATTAGAGGGGCTTGATGCCTCCATGGAGAGCAGTGGCCTCCCAGACAGCGTGAGGCCAAGAAGGTGGAGTGCAGGACCTGGGATCTGGTGACATCAAGGGAGGCGAGGCTGTGACAGACCCAAGACTCCTGGGAGGGAAGGCCAGCCTCCCAGTGAGAGGGACAGTCTCCCCCAGTGAGAGGGGCAGTCTCCCAGTGAGAGGGGCAGTCTCTCAGTGAGAGGGACAGTCCCCCAGTGAGAGGGGCAGGCTCCCAGTGAGAGGGACAGCCTCCCAGTCAGAGGGGCAGTCTCCCAGTGAGAGGGGCAGTCTCTCAGTGAGAGGGACAGTCTCCCAGTGAGAGGGGCAGTCTCCCAGTGAGAACAGCCTCCCCAGTGAGAGGGACAGCCTCCCAGTGAGAGGGACAGTCCCCCCAGTGAGAGGGACAGTCCCCCAGTGAGAGGGACAGTCTCCCCAGTGAGAGGGACAGTCTCCCCAGTGAGAGAGACAGTCTCCCAGTGAGAGAGACAGTCTCCCCAGTGAGAGGGACAGTCTCCCCGTGAGAGGGACAGTCTCTCCGTGAGAGGGACAGTCTCTCCGTGAGAGGGACAGTCTCTCCGTGAGAGGGACAGTCTCTCCGTGAGAGGGACAGTCTCTCCGTGAGAGGGACAGTCTCTCCGTGAGAGGGACAGTCTCTCCGTGAGAGGGACAGTCTCTCCGTGAGAGGGACAGTCTCTCCGTGAGAGGGACAGTCTCTCCGTGAGAGGGACAGTCTCTCCGTGAGAGGGACAGTCTCTCCGTGAGAGGGACAGTCTCTCCGTGAGAGGGACAGTCTCTCCGTGAGAGGGACAGTCTCTCCGTGAGAGGGACAGTCTCTCCGTGAGAGGGACAGTCTCTCCGTGAGAGGGACAGTCTCTCCGTGAGAGGGACAGTCTCTCCGTGAGAGGGACAGTCTCTCCGTGAGAGGGACAGTCTCTCCGTGAGAGGGACAGTCTCTCCGTGAGAGGGACAGTCTCTCCGTGAGAGGGACAGTCTCTCCGTGAGAGGGACAGTCTCTCCGTGAGAGGGACAGTCTCTCCGTGAGAGGGACAGTCTCTCCGTGAGAGGGACAGTCTCTCCGTGAGAGGGACAGTCTCTCCGTGAGAGGGACAGTCTCTCCGTGAGAGGGACAGTCTCTCCGTGAGAGGGACAGTCTCTCCGTGAGAGGGACAGTCTCTCCGTGAGAGGGACAGTCTCTCCGTGAGAGGGACAGTCTCTCCGTGAGAGGGACAGTCTCTCCGTGAGAGGGACAGTCTCTCCGTGAGAGGGACAGTCTCTCCGTGAGAGGGACAGTCTCTCCGTGAGAGGGACAGTCTCTCCGTGAGAGGGACAGTCTCTCCGTGAGAGGGACAGTCTCTCCGTGAGAGGGACAGTCTCTCCGTGAGAGGGACAGTCTCTCCGTGAGAGGGACAGTCTCTCCGTGAGAGGGACAGTCTCTCCGTGAGAGGGACAGTCTCTCCGTGAGAGGGACAGTCTCTCCGTGAGAGGGACAGTCTCTCCGTGAGAGGGACAGTCTCTCCGTGAGAGGGACAGTCTCTCCGTGAGAGGGACAGTCTCTCCGTGAGAGGGACAGTCTCTCCGTGAGAGGGACAGTCTCTCCGTGAGAGGGACAGTCTCTCCGTGAGAGGGACAGTCTCTCCGTGAGAGGGACAGTCTCTCCGTGAGAGGGACAGTCTCTCCGTGAGAGGGACAGTCTCTCCGTGAGAGGGACAGTCTCTCCGTGAGAGGGACAGTCTCTCCGTGAGAGGGACAGTCTCTCCGTGAGAGGGACAGTCTCTCCGTGAGAGGGACAGTCTCTCCGTGAGAGGGACAGTCTCTCCGTGAGAGGGACAGTCTCTCCGTGAGAGGGACAGTCTCTCCGTGAGAGGGACAGTCTCTCCGTGAGAGGGACAGTCTCTCCGTGAGAGGGACAGTCTCTCCGTGAGAGGGACAGTCTCTCCGTGAGAGGGACAGTCTCTCCGTGAGAGGGACAGTCTCTCCGTGAGAGGGACAGTCTCTCCGTGAGAGGGACAGTCTCTCCGTGAGAGGGACAGTCTCTCCGTGAGAGGGACAGTCTCTCCGTGAGAGGGACAGTCTCTCCGTGAGAGGGACAGTCTCTCCGTGAGAGGGACAGTCTCTCCGTGAGAGGGACAGTCTCTCCGTGAGAGGGACAGTCTCTCCGTGAGAGGGACAGTCTCTCCGTGAGAGGGACAGTCTCTCCGTGAGAGGGACAGTCTCTCCGTGAGAGGGACAGTCTCTCCGTGAGAGGGACAGTCTCTCCGTGAGAGGGACAGTCTCTCCGTGAGAGGGACAGTCTCTCCGTGAGAGGGACAGTCTCTCCGTGAGAGGGACAGTCTCTCCGTGAGAGGGACAGTCTCTCCGTGAGAGGGACAGTCTCTCCGTGAGAGGGACAGTCTCTCCGTGAGAGGGACAGTCTCTCCGTGAGAGGGACAGTCTCTCCGTGAGAGGGACAGTCTCTCCGTGAGAGGGACAGTCTCTCCGTGAGAGGGACAGTCTCTCCGTGAGAGGGACAGTCTCTCCGTGAGAGGGACAGTCTCTCCGTGAGAGGGACAGTCTCTCCGTGAGAGGGACAGTCTCTCCGTGAGAGGGACAGTCTCTCCGTGAGAGGGACAGTCTCTCCGTGAGAGGGACAGTCTCTCCGTGAGAGGGACAGTCTCTCCGTGAGAGGGACAGTCTCTCCGTGAGAGGGACAGTCTCTCCGTGAGAGGGACAGTCTCTCCGTGAGAGGGACAGTCTCTCCGTGAGAGGGACAGTCTCTCCGTGAGAGGGACAGTCTCTCCGTGAGAGGGACAGTCTCTCCGTGAGAGGGACAGTCTCTCCGTGAGAGGGACAGTCTCTCCGTGAGAGGGACAGTCTCTCCGTGAGAGGGACAGTCTCTCCGTGAGAGGGACAGTCTCTCCGTGAGAGGGACAGTCTCTCCGTGAGAGGGACAGTCTCTCCGTGAGAGGGACAGTCTCTCCGTGAGAGGGACAGTCTCTCCGTGAGAGGGACAGTCTCTCCGTGAGAGGGACAGTCTCTCCGTGAGAGGGACAGTCTCTCCGTGAGAGGGACAGTCTCTCCGTGAGAGGGACAGTCTCTCCGTGAGAGGGACAGTCTCTCCGTGAGAGGGACAGTCTCTCCGTGAGAGGGACAGTCTCTCCGTGAGAGGGACAGTCTCTCCGTGAGAGGGACAGTCTCTCCGTGAGAGGGACAGTCTCTCCGTGAGAGGGACAGTCTCTCCGTGAGAGGGACAGTCTCTCCGTGAGAGGGACAGTCTCTCCGTGAGAGGGACAGTCTCTCCGTGAGAGGGACAGTCTCTCCGTGAGAGGGACAGTCTCTCCGTGAGAGGGACAGTCTCTCCGTGAGAGGGACAGTCTCTCCGTGAGAGGGACAGTCTCTCCGTGAGAGGGACAGTCTCTCCGTGAGAGGGACAGTCTCTCCGTGAGAGGGACAGTCTCTCCGTGAGAGGGACAGTCTCTCCGTGAGAGGGACAGTCTCTCCGTGAGAGGGACAGTCTCTCCGTGAGAGGGACAGTCTCTCCGTGAGAGGGACAGTCTCTCCGTGAGAGGGACAGTCTCTCCGTGAGAGGGACAGTCTCTCCGTGAGAGGGACAGTCTCTCCGTGAGAGGGACAGTCTCTCCGTGAGAGGGACAGTCTCTCCGTGAGAGGGACAGTCTCTCCGTGAGAGGGACAGTCTCTCCGTGAGAGGGACAGTCTCTCCGTGAGAGGGACAGTCTCTCCGTGAGAGGGACAGTCTCTCCGTGAGAGGGACAGTCTCTCCGTGAGAGGGACAGTCTCTCCGTGAGAGGGACAGTCTCTCCGTGAGAGGGACAGTCTCTCCGTGAGAGGGACAGTCTCTCCGTGAGAGGGACAGTCTCTCCGTGAGAGGGACAGTCTCTCCGTGAGAGGGACAGTCTCTCCGTGAGAGGGACAGTCTCTCCGTGAGAGGGACAGTCTCTCCGTGAGAGGGACAGTCTCTCCGTGAGAGGGACAGTCTCTCCGTGAGAGGGACAGTCTCTCCGTGAGAGGGACAGTCTCTCCGTGAGAGGGACAGTCTCTCCGTGAGAGGGACAGTCTCTCCGTGAGAGGGACAGTCTCTCCGTGAGAGGGACAGTCTCTCCGTGAGAGGGACAGTCTCTCCGTGAGAGGGACAGTCTCTCCGTGAGAGGGACAGTCTCTCCGTGAGAGGGACAGTCTCTCCGTGAGAGGGACAGTCTCTCCGTGAGAGGGACAGTCTCTCCGTGAGAGGGACAGTCTCTCCGTGAGAGGGACAGTCTCTCCGTGAGAGGGACAGTCTCTCCGTGAGAGGGACAGTCTCTCCGTGAGAGGGACAGTCTCTCCGTGAGAGGGACAGTCTCTCCGTGAGAGGGACAGTCTCTCCGTGAGAGGGACAGTCTCTCCGTGAGAGGGACAGTCTCTCAGTGAGAGGCCAGCCTCCTGGAAGTGCTCCACACTCGGCCTCCCTGTGTGCCTCTCCTGGGGAGCAGCAGGCTGTAGAATGGGGTCCTCCCCTCCCTTTGAGGAGCCACTTGACTGAAATGTGGCGTCTGTGACTGCTATGCTGGGAGACAGCATCAGCTAGTCCCGGACCTCCACGCGGCTTCCGCAGGCGGCCACGGAGCACAGGGATTGATGGCCTAGCCCTTCCCCTCCTGCACTCAGCAGGTTAAGAGGGAGCCACGTGAGTCCATGAGCCAAGCAGCCGCATCTGTGCTGCGTGTCCCTCAGTGGCGAGGTCAGGGCTCACCACCCCACTAGCAGCAGCAGGAGCTGGAGTCTGGGTCACCGTGACCCACTGAGTAATCTTTCTTTTTGGGGAAGAATTAGAAATGTATCAGGTCTTCTGGAAAACCAGCCCCGTTTTGTTTCTCCCAAGGGTTGAAAAAATAAGTTACTATCTGTATGGCAGCAGTGCGACCTTAGCGGGAGGAGGGTAAGAAGTGTGGGCACCGCCCCCCACAACCCAGAGCTGCTCTGAGGGGAAGAGGGCCCCTGAAAAGCGGGGTGCCCTTTCAGTGGCCTGTCATCTGCTCACTGTTCCTTTCCGAGGACCACATGGGGGGCCTCCAGCCCCGGGCACGGCCGCGGGCCTGCTGGCCGAGAGGCAGGCCTGTATCCGAGCAGGGCTCTCAGCTTTGTCATCGGAAGCGGCCCTGGAGGACCAGCTGTGGTCCCTGCGGCCCTGCTCTCTCTTCCCAGGTGAGACTCCGGAGCCCGTGGTATAGCCTCTCGGAGGAAGCAGAGCTCTCGTTCAGCACCCACACTGGTCCCTCCTCCCCTGCTCCCCCACTGTAACACCCTCCTGGTCTCTCCGAGTGTCGCTGGCAGAGGGGCGACTCTTTGCAACAGGCGGACAGCAGACCGTCCCACGTGTCCACTGCAGAAGGGCCGTGTTTTCTGAAAGGACATCTCGAGGCTCTCTGGGAGATGGTGACGGTTTAAGGAAATCTGAGATTAAGAACAGATGGTGGGAGACCTGAATTTCTCATAGCAGCAGGAAAGGCAGCCAAGCCGTGGGCCGCGTAGACGCTCAGCCCTGTGTCCAGCCTTGGCCATCACGAGGCCCTGTGGGTGCCCCGCAGGAGACCCAGCGCATCTGCTCTGCCCGAGAGGGGCATCCCGGAAGCCGACAGAGGAGAGATGTCCCTGGTGTGGACTCAGCTGGCACAGGGCGGGCCTGCTCTGAGTCTGGTCAGGAACAAGATGAGGAGGGTGGTGGGAGGAGGCAGCCGGCCCTGCAATGCTCTTGTGACCCGTGTATCCACGAAGGATGCCACACCATTGCTGGAGGAGATGCTGGACCTGCTTCCTGAACCCCCCAGACATGTCATCTTCCTACCCATGACCCCCAGCGCTTCCCCAAGCACAGTAGCCAGCCAGCCCCACAAGCAACACCGGGCATCTTCGCCACCGCCCCCCGCGCGGGTCACAGGAGGCGTCCAGGACCTGTCTGCTCCTCTGCAGGAGGTTGTGTCCAGGCAGATACACCTCCTCAGGTCTCATCTGGCAGGCAGTTCTACCGGCTCTTACAGCACTGTGACAGGGAGTCCCCCGTGGCCACTGCCTGCTCCTTGGGGCCAGCTCTAAATGCTCTTGGGAAATGGCGTCAACTGCAAGCCCAGGGGGTGGGCCCAGGGGAA